GTATTGCTTGCTTGAAAACCATAACTTTGCAAAGAGATGCTCAATCAATAAAATTTCTGCTCAAATTGAAAGAGCAGATCATAAAATCTATGATGTCAACCGATATATACCGATATTTAGTGCTAGTACCAAAGTTTGAGTATTTTTCTTCTACAGCTTCTATCTCTATAGTTTCATGTTTCTCAAATGCATTTGAAGCATATCATTTCCTTTTTTGAATGAAGCTAAGCTTGTGCAGATACCACGAGTATGGAAAGGTAAAACGTTATAAAGTTTCTGGTGCGAACGAGCTTTCGGGTCATCGTATCATATTTTTTGCTCTCGTCGATGTTAGAGTGTCTGGAGATTCCAGGCGTAAATTGCTCGAAATTGCTTTGGATCTACTAGAGTTTTTATTCTCAGTATATTATTTATGACTTCAAGGCTGGAATGGGATCCACCTTTGCAACCGAATGGCGACATCTCACACTATGTGGTCAGCTGGAGAGCGATGGACGATTTGCATATGAATCAGAACATGGGTGCTGCTGTTTGTTACGATGGTAAGTGATAATTTATGCAGATAAATGGTGATTATTCACGCGTTTTCTTACAGATCTTGCCAGAAGCTTGGACATCTCACTTGGAGCCGCCGATGGTCTACTGGAGCCATCGTCTACGCCTGCTCCAAAGGTGTCTTCAATGCTGATGGGGACAGCGAGTGCGGGAAAAGGTGATACGTGCCCGAGGAATGAAGGATGTTGCAAATGTCCACCGAAGGTGAATCTGGAGAGTATGTGCTTGGTTGGTAATGGTGAAGAAATACTTTTAGGCACTATCTACCGATGCAGACGAGAATATCGAGTCGCAGACCGAGTTCGAGAACGCTGTACATAATGTGGTTTTTGTGCAAAAGTGAGTCTGAATGCCTTGATTTTTGTAATATTCCATTTCCATCTTCCTTACTGATTTTCTTCTTATTTATCGGGGAAGTTCTGGCATATTTAAGAATTAGCCATCTGGTTTGCGGGTTCACCTCAGAACACATGTTGTGTATTTGGTCAGACAAAATATGACAAACTTATAGACGTGACTATAGGTCATCCGCATCTTTGTTTCCGTTAGTCGGTGTACGCGCGCGGACATTAGTGACGTTTCCTCTCGCTCCTGTTGGTGATAGTGACAAAAGCGATGATATCAATGTCCTAAGGATGCACAGGATCTACCGGATGTGTAGGCAACAGCATGGCCTATCGTCTTTTATTGATGAAACAATGCCTTCCGTTAGTCAAGCGTGAGGAATTGCCAGAGCCGTAGTTTTGGTGGTTTTCATATGTCTTGCTCGGTTTTTTCGGAACGCTGTTGAACTTCATCAACATGGTAGCGTGTAAAATTTTGGAAGGAGAAGCCGACAGCCCATCAAAATCACTCCTAGATGACATCATGAATTTATCAGCCATGGCTGCGAAAAAGGAGCGCGTGAAAGCCGTGGATGATCTTCTCCCTGCCTTTACGAAGTAGCGTAGCCGCTTCCGTCTTATCTCTTCGCAAGCTCAGGCGTGGGTGGGCGTCGTTTGTGGTCAGCTGCGGTGTTAGGTTTTCTCGTACACTCTATTGCTGGAGAAATTGTTTGTAAATTTCTCTTCATGACACCTCTCGTTGGAAGCAATTAGCCAAATATTCTGGATGGCAGTTGTCGTGGCATTTGTTAAACTTGGCGGCCTTCTGCGGATCTTTCTAGAGAGAAGCTATTGTTGTTTACTCTAATATATCCACTGTTTGAGTTCTATGCCTCCTTTTGCAATATTCTTTAGTTACTTCAACAGCAGCTCGGTGTCTTTTGTTCCACTTTCGTTCTTAACGTGTGCCCTTATTTAGCTGTTCCGAACAGCTTGCTGCAATTTTTTGTCCTCCGATATCCGCACGCGTAGTTTGTGGAGTTCGCTTCCCACTGGATATCGTTTTGCATTTCAGATCCCTAATCTAGCAAAATTTCTCAGATAGGCTGTTGTAGCTAGATGTGTTGATTTAGTTGTGCGCATAGTCATGATCCAGTGAGATGTGGTGGAGGAAACGATGATGAAGATAGCGCAGTCGAGGATGACGAC